TCAAAAATTTTTTTTTTTTTTTTTTTTTTTTGCAAAAAGGGTTGTACCTCGTGAAACTGGTCACTCGTTACAATATTATTTTTCATGTTCATTCTATCTTTGTTCAGAGACATCAAAGGAGCAAACATACTGGTGGATCCAAATGGCCGTGTGAAATTGGCCGATTTCGGGACAGCAAAGCATGTAAGGGCGTGCTTTGAAAATCTTATATTTATTTTGGAAGGGACAAACTAAGATATATATTATTTTTTACTGTTTTAGATGATTCTTTTCTATAGAATAATGCACATTACTGGGCAGAGTCATGTTTTTTATATGCTAATCTTATCTGCATAATGCAGATTACTGGGCAGTATTGCTCGTTATCTTTCAAGGGAAGCCCGTACTGGATGGCACCTGAGGTTACAACGATTCTTGATAATCTGCTCTATTAACGAATGCAAATTCTTCTTCTATCTCACAGTTCCAAAATTCTATGGCATAAGGTTATTAAGAATTCAAATGGCTACAATCTTGCTGTTGACATATGGAGCCTTGGATGCACAGTTTTGGAGATGGCTACCGCAAAACCACCTTGGGGTCAGCATGAAGGGGTCAGTGACATGTAGACACCAAGCATTGCTTTGCCTTTTCATATTTTTCTCCCAAATGGAATTTCTTGTATTAGATTTTCGATGATGATACTCGTACTAGAGATTCGGTATATTGCTTCCTCTTATTCTGGGTTTCTTCTCCAAAGGTTGCTGCTGTGTTCAAGATTGGTAACAGCAAGGAGCTTCCAGAGATTCCCGATCATCTATCAGATGAAGGAAAGGATTTTGTGAGGCTTTGTTTACAGCGTAACCCATCTGCCCGCCCTTCAGCAGCTCAGCTTCTGGAACACCCTTTCATTAGAAATGGTGCCCCCTTTGAAAAGCATGTCATCACTGCTGACGATCTCGAAGTGATGCGTATCATTAACAATATTTCACCGGTATGAAATTCTCATCTACTGCTATGTTATATTCATTTGTTTCTGAGAATAATTGTATGAAACTCTCATCTACTGCTATATTATATATTAATTTGTTTCTGAGAAGAATTTATGTGTATATTGTACTGGTTGACCAGCTTCTGCTTGCAATATGAATTCAGTCCAATGACTCCAATCTTCAAATTATGGTTGAACATTTGCTTAACCATAGTTTCTGCAAACTGATCTTCTATCAGGGAATCTTAAATGCAAGAAACCTTCCAGGTTTCGATTCTGAAGATACCCTGAACCATCACCCACAAGGAGTGAAAATAGCTTCAGGAAATGGGTACGTGAATTTTCCTAGTGGAGCCAACCTCATGCCTGATGACCACGATTTTCATTTTTCTACTTGTCGGCATGTAAGATCAAAACATGAAGATGGATATCTCGTCTTAGTAATGTCGTGATTCTTTTCTTTTATGCTTGTATTTGTACGTTTCTCAGAAGTCCCCTCGCATCAAGGAATATGCACTACCCCGATTTGCCAATTGGCAGCTCAAATTTACGGTCACCGCAGCATATGAGAGGAAGGGTGTCTCCTCCTATATCAAGTCCCAGGTTAACGGGCAGCTTATGCAGTAGCTATCTTCATCAACAACACAACGGTTGCGATCCTGATCTTTCCAAAAGATGGTCTCACCCTGGTCGCGTTCTCCGGGAGATGATCACATCAGGACATGAAGAGCCCTCTAGTTCCAAAAACGGAGAGTCTTTGCTGGCGGATCATGTTTACCCGCAGTGTCTGGGTGCAGAACTCTCGTTTGTGCATTACCTCGACCAGGAGCCAAGTTGCTCACCGCCTGCTCGGGCGGACATGAACTAATATATATATATATACGCACTAAATGCTAATAGACTAATGTTTTGAATGGGGATGACTTTTATTTTGGGTTTTGGGTTTTGGGTTTTAGTTTTTGGATTTTGGATTTTGGTTTTTGGTTTTTGGTTTTTGGATTTTATAATATTTGAAAACTAAAAAAAGTACTTTTGGTTTTTCATTGATTTTTTCATTAAAACGGCTTTTCAAGTTTTTAGGGAAAGTAATTTTGTTTATGGTTTTTGGATTCTAAAAACTCCAACAATTCAAAGCCTAAAATCAATTTATGGCATAATAACATGACTTGCTATATATATACATATATACATGGGTGCATGTGTGTTTACGTGTTCATGTGTTTGTAATCTAGGTTGCCGACATCATAGTCTGTCGGATACAGATAACACATGAAGATGAAGGCAGCCTAAAAAAATGGTGAAACCACAATTGATAAGAGCCGGAGTTCAAGCCTTGGAGCTTTTACCCCGCATCAAAATCAGGGTGATCGAACAAGAACAACTCTCTTCTCTTACCTTTAGATGGAATTTTCTCATTCAGCAGATTCTCATAGTGTTAACAGAGTATAGTGTAAAAGAAGTCTGTACATCCGAAAGTACACCGATACAAACAAAAAATACAGAAGAAATGTCGAACAAAGAAGCAGAGATTTCCTTGGCTGTGGGAGCTGCCATGTCCTGATACAGTTGCATACATGTACCTACCTGGTTGTATGTATACCTTTCCAACCTTAGAGCTGGAGAAATGGATCTGATTCTTCATATGTAAAACTCTTTTTGCAACTCTTCATCCTTTTTTTTTTTTTTTAATGTAGACAGAGAAATATTCGGATCTCCTTTAAAGGGTTTGGATTTTTTTCCCCTTGATTATGTTGTCTCTCTGTACTGAAATTGCGTTGGTGAAAACCATGAACAGATTTCCATGGTGGATTTGACTAGGGTTAGGGTTAGGGTTTTGAGGTTTAGTCATTCCGACGTTTCATCTTGTTTCCAGTATCTCGTCTCGCCTTGCCTCGTCCCCTAACGTTCTTCAGATACGGCTCTTCAACCGAATATTCAATCTCGTCGATCAGATAATCTAATATATATATATATATATAGATATATATAACCCATGTTTTCAATCTTATGTATAATCAATCTATGGATCTTAAGATATGCATGCATACACAGATTTTTATCCAAGAAACATTAAAGTCTTAAACCCTCTGATACGATGTTCCGACCAAAGCGCACCCAAACAAAAGATAGGATAGAAGAACGGAAACTAAGCTTTATGTACAGAAATATATATTGATATTTTTTAAATAAAAATGCACCAAAATATGTGTGAAAGAGAAATCACGAACATATAGAAGATGACGATCAGTAAAACCGATCTCTTCCTCCTCCGGTCCACCATCTCCTCCTACACGAGAGATGT